GCTTTCATGGAGAATCTTACAAGAATCTCATGCAAATAATCATATAACCAAAGTCTGCTAAGACACCAAGGAAGAGCTTTCTGTCTTCCTGATTTACACTGCAGGTTTACGACTAGCCATGTGGTCAACATGTTATAACACTTCTTAAATAGCTTAAGGGCCCTTAAACAGCGACTTATAACAAAACTAAAGCACTTTCTTTAGATTTTCATCAATGAAAGAAGGTATTGCCAATTAAAAAGGGGTTTCGGAGTTTGAAGAGAAAATTGTCAAAATTGTTTGTGATGATTTTTAGATAATCCATACTAGATTAATTCAGTATGGATTCAAAGTTTAACGAGGAACTTGTCGAATGGAGCCTGTTTCGTTCTTCTGCCGTTTGGTTTTATTGAATAGACTTGGTAACGCCTTGCATGAAATTTTAAAATTACGCGTGCAACACTTGCAAAGTAGGGTCACTCTCTTTCTACAAACACTATATCTCCTCCCCTTCCACAATACCATACGATAAAAATGAGTCTCAAAACCGTTCTCCATGTAAAACATATACACCCTGTTTGAACACTCTTGATTGCGATTCATCCGCATACACTCAACCAAAAACTCGCGAAACCAGTTAGGCATAACAAACGTTATGATATCTCTCAGTAAGTACGCGCACTGTGATTTGTCAAGTTTTAAACTTTTACTTGCTATAAATGTAAAGAATACTTGGCGATAAATCACGAAACATTTTGGGAACGTAAGCACCTTTAAATTTTAGCGGGCCCTACCGTAAAATACGGCCCGCTAAAATTTAAAGCTGTTTATGTACCCAAAATGTTTCGTGATTTATCGCCAAGTATTCTCTACCGTTACAGCAAGTAAAAGTTTAAAACTCTCTTTTACGTCTAAAATTGTGCATTAAAACTTGCTAACGACTTAAGAGTCAGTTAACAACGTTTCCAAATTGACTCGTTTTGATTTTGACGTGCGTCAGAATTTTGAAGCCGTTCCGCGTGAATAGGCATCGTTCCCGAACGCGGCAGAGACTCAGTAGAGATATAACAAATAATTTACTAGCCTCGTCTTATCGGTCTGTACTGTTAGTTACAGATCGTCGTTTTTTTTCTTCCCTCCGACTTATGACCCGCGCGCTCAGCGCTTGGGCGAGAAATCGACGGGGAAAAGTTCGGTCTGTAACTTGCAGAACGGCCCTCGAACTGATAATTAATATTTAATAATTATTGGCAAGAAGTGCTTTTTCACTTCGGGTTAGAAGCGCCGGAAGATTGCTAGTTTTTTTACTTTGGAAAAACATAAAATAGGGCATTTTTGTGGGCAATTTTTCTTGGTGCAACGAAATTTTAAATGAAAAATACATTTTTGCAAAGCCCAGTTATCGCTTTACAATAAAAGAAATTCAACTTGGGCAATTGAAAAGCCGTGTTGTAAAACATGTTCAAGAAAAGGTTTTTTACGCGTAATTTGCGCTACAATTACGAGGGTCACGCAGACCCAATGTTTACCCGTGTCGCCTTCTTTGGATTTAGACGAAATTCAAGGCTCAAAAAAGCACTCTGGTATATGGTCTCACCCAGCGAGACTACACCCCGGGGATTACATCTACACATCGGGCGCAAAAAAAAAATGGGGTAAATAAAACGGCGAATTCTGAGAATATTTTCAAAACAGGTCACTTGAGCGACTCTTTGACCTTTCAAGTCATTCGGATCAACACTCGACAGCTCTTGATCTGACTTTCATTTGTCGGAATACACGTTTCTTTGCTTTTGTTTGTTTGCTAACATATCGTCAAGTAGAAGTAGTTAGGCTCCTGAATTTGGAGGCATCTACCCGCATTATAATGAGAACAACTGGCGCCTCCGCCACAGAGTGGAGTAGGCGCCACAAAGTCGATTGGCAATCGGATTTAACAGGATGACACCGTTATTAACTGGAAGGCCAATAGCAAGCCAACAGAAATCTTTGTCAAAATTCAGTCTATGGTAACCACGTTGTGATGCGATGGAAAAGATATTAACTTTGCTCCACGCCCCCAGCCCTCAAGAACAACTCCCTGTAATACACGGGGAGGCTCTTCCCGCAAAAGGTGTGGCAACTTTCTGAAAAAGGGATGCCTTGTGCTGACTTAAGGTATGTTAAAGGACAACACTTTTTATAGGTGGTATATGAAATATACGAAAGAGTTATCTTGCCAGTCAAAACAACAAATAGTGAATCAAAGGGTAAGCGTTTACGCGTCGGGTGGGAGGCTTGTCCGAACTTGGCCTAAGTCATGATTCTATTGCACTTGTAAACACATGTCCACATTGTTTCTTTGTTACAAATCAATTGTATGGCTCCTTCCATACAAGGCGCTAATTTAACATTATCCCCAGAAACCAAAGGTCGATACTCGGTGGTTTTTGTTTGGAGAGTTTTCCAATTTTTTGCCAAGTTCGAGTCGGTGGCTTGCTTACCACTGCTCAACTTAGCTTAGATCGTTTTTAGAATCTGATTTTTATTCTTTGTATTTAAATGAAATTAAAAGCGAAGATGCTTAGAAAATAAAACAGGGAATTGACAACAAATACAGAGGTCTATAACCTAACCTGAACGACTTTACATTAAATAGGGTTAGTGTGAAATGCGATGATCCAAGACCACGATTTTTTGTTTACATCTTCAAGTAATACCTTACTATTTTGAAAATGTTTTCATCAGAAAATTTTTCCTAAGCATTTCATATAGGGGCTTTCCTGGTGTTCCTGAGACCGATGTTTATGTTAAGATTCTTCCGTTTACTCGAGCTTCCGTTTACTCAAATTCTATTGTTCCTAAATGTCGACAACTTCGGATAACGAGCAACGTGTAATTTCCTCTATCCAACCAACAATTCAGTTGAATATCAAGAAGGACTCTTATCTGCCAATGCATAAAGCTCAAAATAAATGTAGACCTACCTCAGTTGTTGTGCATTGTCGTTTCTGTGGCTCAAAATGATGAATTTGAGCGTTTCAGTGGGTTTTGCGCCGACTGTTACTACGTGTTACATACATGTAGTAACAGTTTACATTAACGAGTGTCAAGCACCCCTCTTTCCCGAGGGCGTAGCGCTTGGGATTTTTACTTACCATTCGCACAACCGTCGACAAACCGGTTTCTCCGTGTAAATGGTAAACCACGTATGTTTGAAAACACCAACGCGGCTGTCTGGACGTCGTTTGAAAACGCTCTATAATTAAGATTCAAAGTTTAGCGGGTTTCAGCTGAAAATGATGTTCAAACATACAAAATATTGACATGAACTTCTATTATTTTTTTAATTTTTTTTTTCATCCAGGTTAAAGCAAATGAATTTCTTATGAAATCCTGATCATGGTTATAATATAACCCTTTCCTTGAACATCGAACTCCGCATTTCTTTGTTGACAATCAGGCAGTTCTCGGAGAATCTGAAAACAAAAGTGAAACCGACTGTGATAAAGACACTGACAAGCTGCAAACACACTAGTTATGAAACTCTTTCGAGTGGCGTACCATGGAATATCCCACGAGTCACTTATTTTCTCGGTATACCGCACACGAGTCTTAAGAAAATACAAGTGACAAGTAAGATATTCCGTGGTGTACCACTCGAAAGCGTTGCGTAACCATTTTATACCATGTCATAAAAAAGTGACCTACACAATACATGCGACATACGTGTGGTGCCCGATGGGAAGATTGGGTGTAATGCCGTCAATATACGGCGGCTTTCCTGCAATCTGATTGGTTGTATTTTCTATGGCATGATATAAAGTAGAATACCACCTCAGTTCCAATTTATAACTCCCCTGGANAAAACTACAACCAAACTATATTGTGGTTAGTCAGTTTAAGCTTGCATTTACTTGTTACAGTGTGCGTAGACAACGTGGAAAAATATATTTTCGGCGCATGCTTTATGTTCTTGATTTTAGTCAGAAATATCAGTTTACCTCGAAAAAATTATGTGCTTGTCATCTTTGCATAGATTTCTAGTAACTGAAAGCTGCAAATGTTGCGGTCAGACCTCACTCACTACTCCGAGAACTTCTTGAAAACAACTAAATGCATGGTACGTTAAAAGCGGACTACTTTGGTCCCAGAAACATTTAGAATTCGTACCGAGATTGAAGAAGCTAAGCTTGAGCCTGTCTTTGGAACATCCCGGTCAGTAGAGCAAACTGACACCTTCGCCAGGCCATTCCCCATGTGGATGAACACAGAAGTTATTCTTCAGGTTTTTCAGAAAGCCAGCTGGCAATCTGAAATGACAAAAATATGCATGTCAAGATCAAATGAATGTTGACAAGGATACTGAGAGCTTGCTCAGTTGAGGGGTCGGCTGATTAAGATTTTATGACAGGGAACAAATTAAAGTTCTTTTTTTTTTCACGTTATTAATATTAGCCCTAGGCTAATGGCCGAGAACACATATTCCGGGACTTAAAAATAAGGTTTCTTTTACCAGGCCTTTACAACATTTTTAGTGACTGATAGTATTTTGGAATAGATAATTTCCCCAACGGCGTTAACATTTAACCAAGCATGTCAATAGGTTTCTAGCTTGGGGTTTTGTACAACATATAACAGTTCCCAATCGTTCAAATCACACATTACTAGCTTGCAAAAATATTCGGAAATAAAAAGTGTCAGAAATTAACACGGTCCGAAATATTTAAGGGTCAGAAATATTTACAGTGCAGTATAAAATTTTTAAGCAGTTTCCTTTAGGGAACGAACTCTAGTTGTGAAACTGCTTGAGATAAGTACCCAGGGGATATGTAACAGCTTGTGTTATTTTCTCCGTGGTATATGGAAAAACGCGAAAAAACGTGTGCCATTGAGTCACGATTGATTTCCGTTTTACTTCTAGTTGGTTTACAAATTTGGGCGAGTTTTCTAAGACAATCGCGCTGCAAATAATACAAGAACAAAGCAAAAGTAAATAACTTTTGACCCCCGGGTGAAAACATCTCTAATATCTTAATTTTCTTATCTATGTTTTTATCTACTTTCTGTAAATAAATCAAAAAAACGTAATTAACCTTATCAAAAGTTGAAAGATCTCTCTTGTCTCGGCTTCCATCAACACGTTCTGGGTATGTTATGTGATAATGATCTGTGCCCTCTGAAAAAGAAAATTTATTTGTTAGAAGGCTTTCAAAAGTAAAAAGTTTAAATATAATTAAAAAAAAAAAAATTAGGTACCGCATATTAATACAGCTATTTTGAGAAAGGTTGTCCTAAAAAAAAGTACTCGACAATGCCGAGAAGCAATCTGGGTAGTGGTCGTTCACTATGTCTAATGTGGGAGGAAGTGGACAGCAG